TTTTAAAAATAAGCATTTATTACATAAATCAGCTCAGACACGCAAAAAACTGTGGTAATGCAGTCCATATATAAAGTTTGAATTAAACAATGAAATCAGCCAAATATAGATTTTCTCTCCTTATTTTGGGTCGATGGTTCCCATAAAACATCAACATATGATCAACCTGCGACGTTATTTGCTTTTACAAAACAGTTTATTCATCAAATATTTTTATTTTTACTCTCAATTCTCCATGATCACAAAAATGAATGTTCATTTCAATAACGCTCGGGAAAACTCTTGATCATTCGGCTGCTTCTTTACATTCATGAAGCGTCCTCCATTTAGGAGTTCTTCTCAGGAACTTTAATGGTCACCTGTAATGTAAAACATGAAAAATAAATGAATAAAAATAGTAAATATGCATCTAAAATACTATGTACAACAAATAAATCTAGCTTAAATTACCAAAAGGGATACTTCACGCTAAATTGACCCATTCACTTACCCTTCACTTTTTATAAACCTTTGAACATTGGAGATTAATGCAGAGTAATGGCACAGAGAAGTCAGTATTCTCTGAGAAAGCCGTTTTAAAAGTGATACAATTTAAAAGTGATTCAAAATCAAATGGGAAGGTGGACACCTAGTGGTTGAACTAGGTATTGCAGTCCAAATTTAAAACATTTTTTCCCCACCCAGTCGAGAGGAGGCTGGATGCAAACCTTGTGCAGTGCAATCTGTATATAAATAATATTTCATATCGCAGCCTCTTGCGATTAGCTAATCGCATTGTTTTAAATCGCGAATGCAATTCGATTCTGATTAAATCTCACAGCCCTTTCCAGGAAAATGTCCTACTTAGTGAAATCAGGTTAGGGGTCTAAACAAAAGCAGACATTCTGACACTGAACACACACTTTCAAAGCAGAATAACCGACTTAAGCACTTTTTTCAGATAAACAAGTATGCTTACTAAATATATTATGTATTTTTCATCTTTAGAAGAGTTAAAAACGTACAACGAGCACCATTTATGAGTGTTATTTTATCTCTTACCGTTTTGACCTCAGTGTAGTTCTCCAGTCCATACTCGCCCATCTCACGGCCAATTCCTGACGCTTTGTAGCCTCCAAACGGAGCCTGAACTCCGAACACGTTATAGCAGTTAATCCTAATCAAATAAAACACAAACATGTCAACACATTTCAATGACAAAGAGCTCCAATAGGAGCTTAAAGCACATCACATGCTTACCACACAGTCCCAGCACGCAGGCCATGGGAAATGTAATTGGCCTTGTCGATGTCTTGGGTGAAAACAGCACCCGCGAGGCCATATTTGCTGTCGTTGGCTCTCTCAATCACTTCCTCCAAAGATTTGAACTTCAGAATTTGCATAACAGGCCCGAAGATCTGACAGGAACACCAAACTACATCAGTTAATACATGTACGAGTTATAGTACATCTAACAATGCATGTGTTTAGTGTGTTTAGTGTGTACCGTATGTGCATGCATGCTAATAAATGGAGTATTTGTTGAAAATTTTGCTTATAGTTAAAAAAATCTTAAATTGAGTGGAAAATTAGGTTGCTTCCTCAATTGTGTTAAAAAGTTGCTCCACACCTCTTCGCGAGCGATTGTCATGTCGTCCTTGACGTCTCCGAAGACTGTGGGCTGGATGAAGTATCCGCGCTCGGCGGCTGGAGCTCCTCCACACATCAGCTTGGCTCCTTCACGCTTCCCGCTGCTGATGTAGCCCAGAACCTTCTTAAACTGATCCTCATTCACCTTTGGGGAAGACCAGAAATACTAATGACGAATCTGATGATTATTGAGGGATCCATGTGTTTGTTACACACATTCATGTTTCACACCACATCAACCCACAATACAGCTCATTGAAGGCGTTCTGAGGCGGACCGCTGGCGCGTTGCTATTTTGAGAATCTATAATAGATTTTTCATTAGACCAAAACTAACCCGGTCTAAACTCCGCCGCAGAGTTGCGCCTCGCTTACGCACTGCTTAATACACACAAGAGAGCAATAGGCAAATATCTTTACATATGAAAAAATGTAAATATTAAGGATATATATAGGATATAATAAGAATAGATATAGAATATAAATATAAAGGATTAAAATATTACAAAACATATTATTTTCTAGCCTACATAAATATGAAAAACCACTGCTTTTATGTCTTCTTCATCTCGGGAGGCTTTTTCAGTTCATTCATAACAATTTGCTTTTGTATAATGTTATTATTATTAGCAGTATTATTTATTACATCCATATTTATATCTGTTTTATTAAAAACAAGCTTAGATTTGCCCACCTGTCAGGTTTTAGACCATATGGGGCATGGCAGGTGTATTTGGAAATAACTCAGTATTTTGAGCACACTTTGTTATTATTGTTCATTTATTTGTTTGCTGGAAATTAGAACTGAATTTAGAAATAGTTTTGAAACTAATATTTGCGCTTAACAAACTAAATCAATTATTTATAGACTAATTGATGTCTGTGCGTAAAGGTTTCCCTATCCAAGAGCGAAAGTGAAAGTAGATCCATTATCTCTCATTTTCACGCAGTAGATGCTCTGTTTAACTGTTTTCTGTTAAAAACACTATTAACTATTTGCTTGTGAAATGCTCATTTTTTCCACTTAGACTTACTTTGCGTCCTGTAAATAGTGAATGCGCTCTTGGCGCGACGCAGCTGACTCTTAAAGGGAATGGGAAATGAGTCCCTAATTGGTTTATTCTCAAAACACACCTATAACTCATTAAGAAAATAAACTCAACCCTTTTAGCCCATGTGCCTTGGCGCAATACGCATTTTCCCGTCCGTAAATTAGCAAAAATGCGTTCTGACACGCTCTGAAAGCGATTGCGCCCTGCGTTTTGTGCTCTGCGCATGGACCGTCAAAATAGAGCCCCTAATGTTCCAATAGTGACGTGGACACTACGGTGTAAGCAGTGAGCCTTGTTAACTGACGTATGTTTTTTTTTTTTTACCCATACTCAAAATTAGTCCTCCGCTTTTAACCCATCCAAGTGCGCGCACACACACACACACACATTTTGAATGAGAAGTGAGAGCACACACACATTTTTGATTTGTAATATCCATAGCCAAGCTTCAGACTACAGATTTTCAAGAACTTTTATTTCAGTCAAATATCATCCAAACATAAACCATAGATCAGTGGTTCTCAGTTCTGGTCCTCGTGCCCCCCGCCCTGCACATTTTGAACATCTCTTATTTGACACACAAGGATCAGTTCATGGAACTCATTGTTAACAAGCTGATGATCTCAATCAGGTGAGTCAGGGTTTCTACGGGTTTCATCAAGTCAAATTTAAGACTTTAAGACCTTTTAAAGACCATTTTAAGACCGTAATTAAAGAAATTTCAGACTTGCACAATGCTAAACGCTAAAGTTTTGTTAAATGGTCAAGATAAAACTGTGAAAAAAATTAAAAACAGATGCTATTGTAAGGACGATAATTAACCCATATTAATTAATAATTATAGTTATTAATATAATTAATATATTATAGTTATAAATGTTTCTTAAAATTTTTATTATAATATATTGTTAGGCATTGGATGGCTGTTGACCCGATTGTGTATATGGACATGGGAAAATTAAGACCCGTTTAAAATTATTTATTTAAGATCTACAGCACAATAATTTAGTGGATTTAAGACGTTAAGGCCTAAAATGTGTTTTTTGAAATTTAAGACATATTAAAACCTTGCAAAAACCCTTGTTAAGTACAGAAGACATACAAAATGTGCAGGCAGGGAGAAAACCAGTGCCATAGATGAACAGAAAGTTCATTTATTCAACTTCAAAATCAACTTAATTTCTAAACATTGACACTTATGACTGGTTTTGTGGTCACATATTGTGTAAAGTGGCAATACAATATAATAGATGTCTATAATAATGACCATATCTTGACCGTTATGCCGGGCCATGAGCATTCTAAACCTGAAATGATCCGTGTGTGACGTCATTAGCATGAACACACAGCACTTACTGCTTGTTTCTTTAAATTTGGAAACATTTGGAATAATGCACGAACATAATCCATTAACACCATTTTAGTGTTTTTTTTGGATATTTTGTAATGAAAATATTGGACATATTGTGCATAATATTTACATATCAAAACCTCCTTATGCACACACTCAGATTGTAAGGGGTATGTAACAGAGCTGTACCTGCGGGCCCTGCTCCGTGTTTAAGTCAAATGGATCTCCCACAATCCTATTCTTGGCTCTCTCCACACTTCGCTCCACAAACTCATCGTAGATGCTCTCCTGTACAAAAGTGCGAGTGCCTGCGCAACAGCACTGGCCTTGGTTGAAGAACAGGGCGATATGGGACTGCTCCACTGCTTCTTCCACTGCGAACGCAGGTATAATTCAATTAGGGATGTAAAAAACATTTAAGGAGTGTTAACCTAAGGAATATTACTAGCATATAAATATATATTTGCTTCCAAATATTATAATTTAGCCACCATTTACTCACCTTCATGTTGTTTTAAACCGTTCTTCTGTTGAGCACAAAAGAAGATATTTTAAAGAATGTAGCCATTGACATCCATAGTAGGAAAAAACAATGGAAGTCAATGGCTACCGGTTAATCAACATTCTTCAAAATATCTTCTTTTGCATTTAACAGGTTGTAACTATTGTTTATTTATTTATTTATTTTTATTTTTTTAAAGTAAGCCATCCTTATAATTTATATTTCCTATTACAATCCTACATGATAGATTGGATTCTCCTGTGCATCCCAAAAAAGTTTTTTTTTTGGTCCAATAAATGAAAGTCACTGGTATCCAGTGTTATAAGGCAGTGGTCCCCAACCTCTGGGTAATTGGTACCGGGCCGCACAAGAAATCATTCATTATTTCTGTTTTGTTTATTATTTGAGTCTAAATCTTTTATTTTAAAAAAAAAATTATTTTGTAAAATAACCATATTTTCTCGGTTACTTGAGCATCAAAATTTAACCCACAAGCTAGCAACATGAGTAAGAAACAGACGTGTTTGGAAAGTTTCTCCCATGAATTGTTAAGGAATGGATCCACAACCCATTTGTCAACAAATCAGGTGAACCTAGCATGTCTGTGCAAGATGATCAAATGCTGGCAAATGATGGGAGCCATATCCCGTCTTTTCCACATACAAGTTCGTTATTTCCAATGGAGGCATGTGGCTTGTGTGCGCATATTGGGAGCAACTGGTGGAAGTGGTGCGACACGCACCTTCCAGGCACACCTAGTTGAAAACATCTTCAGAATGCCATGAGCTCAACACGAGTCACGCGACAAGAACTGACCGGTTAGCATCATATTTTGTACAGAATATACACATTTTGGTAGACTAATGGTGGTTTTTAAATGTTCTACATAAATAAAACTTGTATCAGAGTCGCAGCAATATTTTGTCAGCATGTCATCCTCTGAGAAAACGGTCGATGGTCACCAAGCAATCAACATACATCCAGCACCCCAGGCTGTGGTAAAATTGTTAAGCGTTGACCAGTCCACGGTGATAAAAAGGTTAGGGACCACTGTTATAAGGGATCAAACTGGCTTTCGTGATATGTGCATTGCTGAAGTATGCTTGAAAATACCTAATGCTTTGTGTTATACTGTATACCAGGGGTCTCCAATCCTGTTCCGGGAGATCTACCTTCCAGCAGAGTTCAGCTGCAACTTTAATCAAACCCACCTGTCTGCAATTACCAAGTGCTCCTTCAGATCCTACTTAGTTGGTTTAGTTGTTTGATCAGGGTTGGAGCTGAATTCTGGAGGAAAGTAGATCTCCAGGAACAGGATTGGGCACTCCTGCTGTATACAAAGACACATCTGACCACTGTGAATGCATTTCTGTGATGAATTCCTAAAATTAGGGCATATATGGTTTTAACAGCTACCAAAAAACTAATGTTGGGCTCCCGCAAATTACACTGATGACTGGTAATGTTTTGTTTCACTGTTTACTGTGTCTGCTTACTGTATGTTGCTTGATGACTGAAGCCGTTTGTCGTTTGGAGGCTTTATTTCTGTTGTCACTGTGGTTTGTTTGATAATGGATGATGAGCCTGTGTGTGTGTGTGTGTGTGCTGATCACGTTTTGTCAATGATGAACAAAGACTGCTTATTCTGCATTAACGCGTGAGTTTTTCCATCAGCCCCCAGGCACACAGGGGTCAAAACTGCATAAGAGGGCTACTGAAAAGTATTATGAGCATTAATAATAGGTTTCACCCATATGGTCAAGCAAAGAGAAATGGTCATGCATTGCAAATAGTGAATGCAATCACATTATAGGCAACCTCAGGGAAAACAGTTACAATAATAGAGTTGTTCTGGTTTTGTTTGCCTTTGTATTGCCACATCAGAAAACTTAAGGCTGTCATAGCAAAATCCTTATAGATAAAGACATATTACATAATAATAACAACTTCCTAATTCATTAAGAGACTAACCAAAAATTTAAATACATACAAAAATACAGAAATTTACATTAAAAACATTAGATGATTTAAGTTAACATCATTTAAGTAACATCATTAACAACATATGATAAATAACTTAAAATATTTCTAAACACTGCAATCAATGTGCTCTCAGTAAAGAAATCCCATCTATTAGTTTTTAAAATATAAAAGATATACAATGTGCTATTAAAATGTTTGTTATCTCTCTATTCCTAAAGATGACCAAACTCTTGGTTTAATGGCTGCTTATCAAAACGGTTTTGTTTATATGCACAAAAAATATTGTCTATATTCATTAAGAGACAGATAAAAATGTCCATTTTCAAAAAAGTGGTGTTTGTTATCAATAACGCAGAGCACTGTATATTCAAATATAATTACATCACTCGCAAATGAATTAACCAGTTAAACTCTGCTGTTATTTTGGGATTTCCGCCTGGATTTTAATTTAAAAGCTTCCCAAATCCACATGCAGAGGTGTAAATGCAAAAATTTGGTATCATTTTAAAGAAAACCCTTTGAATTTTTATAAAACACTATTGAAAGTGTTCAAATTAACCGTATATGCTGTCTGTGTTATCATAAACACCTAAAAAAAATAAAATAAAAAAAGAGGAGCTTTTTGTATTTTTTTTTTTATAAACTCAGATTTGAAAGTGTCTCTTTTAGGTTGTGTGTGGTCTAGCGTGCTGTAATTAATGTTGGTGGTTCCTGCACATGTCTGTAATCATAGGAAAAAAGAAAAATGTCTCCACCATAATCTATGCTAAAGTTATTGTATTGCAACTGATGAGAGGTGCTGTACAAGCCACAGGGACGATTATTGTTTTCATATTTCACTATTCTTTTGCTTGATCAAACATATTTCACTGTGTTTGGACCACGTCAGACATATAAAAGGATTACTTATGCACATCACCTCAAAAACAGAGGAGAATGACCCTGAAGCGCACAGCATAAGGTAAGAGATGACAGCTGTCTGTGCTATCTGGGGCTGCTTATTGATCATAAATGTATTGTTTTCACTTCTGCGCCATGGAAACACAGAAATTCATTCTGCAACTGTTTGATATGTGAATATAATTCAGTAAAAAGAATGCTAGAACCGTATGAGCACCGGCAAGAGCTTTCACTATAACTTGTACATGTGTCATATGAAAAATATGAAAATGAACCAATGTTCAATACCCAGCTCGAGTATCCAAAATACTTTGTATTTAAGTGTAAAAACTTTTGTAAGGTAGAATAAAAAACAAAGTGATGCATATGTGCATAAAATATAGATTCTACACTTTCAAACAAGACTAGCTATAATGCTAGCCCTTTAAATCTTAAAGCGAAAGTCGATGACGTCACAGACCCTGCAGAGTTTAACTGGTTATTAATATGGTAGAACTGAAAGTCTAAAATACACTAGAATTCTTCTGTTGGCAACTAAATATAATCCACCAGATTAAACAGAACAGGTGAAATAATGCTGTATACAGGATGAAAGAGTGAACTCACTGTTAGCATCTGACAGGATGATGTTTGGACTCTTTCCTCCGAGCTCCAGTGTGACTTTTTTCAGATTACTGGCACTCGAGGCTCGCTGGATCAGGTGACCGACCTACAGAAATACAAATAAAAGACTATACAGCTGATGAATGTAATGCGAATATACTATTGAAGTCTGGGGTTTCACAGCACTCAATACCAACCGACTTTTGCTGTAGTGGGGAACTATAGAGACACTAATGATATAAACTTTACTTCATGGTTTTCTAGGGAGTCTAACAGGATTCACGCCCCATTCACACGGGGCGTCAGCGTCAACGCTTCCCATTCACTTTAAATGGGTGACGTCAAGTGTTGCCGAACTGCATTGTGGATCCGTCGGCGCCGCTTCAGAGGCGTTGCTCGCTGCAGAAGTTGGGACTAGCTCAACTTTAAGCAGCCATTTCAGATCGCTGTATGTAAATACACCAGCTAGACAGTGGCCTATTGGTGACTGAATTTCATTGGCTGACGCTGCTATGACGATCACGTTAGCCCCAACTTCAGACATGCGCTGACGCCGAAGCCCCGTGTGAATGGGGCGTCAGGTACAGAATTGTATAATGACACTGTGTAGTCTTCTATGCATAAATAATTACATAAAATTAACCTTTATTTAAAGTTATTCAAACTGTCACTATGTCGATAGCAGGTCGGTTAAGTTTACTTTAATATTGACCTTATTCTAAAATGCGGAAGTGCGCCTGTTTTCGCGATTGTCTTAGAACTTCCGATTCAGTCGCCTATGGGAGAAATGACTAGGAATAATAAACGGCAGAAAATGGGCAAACTACTTGCTCAACAAACAAATGTTTGCATGACGACACAGACCAAGTAGCATAATATAATAAGAAAATATTAAATTGCAACATCAAGCAGCGTAACGAGCAGTTGTTAACGTCAAAAAATGAATGAAAGTGAATGTGACCGGAAGTCGCGAGACAAAATGATTCAAATGACAGCGCCCACTCGACAGCTGAGAATAAGGTGAATATATTTCAAGTTAATACCAATCTAAACATGACAAACTGGAAACTGAACTCCAACTGGTGGTCATGTCTGGTACTGCGGCCAAACAGCAAGTTACTGAAAGCTTGTTTTTTTTAAAATATCAACTTCAAATTTACAATATAATTTCTTTGTATATTTAGCTTTGGTTTACTGTCTAATGTGGGCTAAAACAAGTTTTATAAAATACATTTTTATGTAATGTGATAAAATATACATTTATTGTTTTATTATTTTCATAAAGGCACATCACTTTTATTTATTTCTGAACGTCTTACAGCTACAGGCCCCGTTTACACTAGTGCGTTTTAGTTTGAAAACGCATAAGTTTTGCTACGGTTACGCCATCCGTCCACACTACGCCGGAGTTCTCGAGCGCCGAAAACGGAGCGTTTCGAAAACGCTGGAGAGGCCGTTTTCATTTTGAAACGCAGCTGCTCCGTCTCAGTGTGGATGGGGAAAGACGGAGACATCTGAAAACGGAGGCGGGGCTGCAGACATTCGCCTCTCTGATTGGGGCTTTTCCTCAATATTAAGTAGCCTAACACACAGTTCAGTCCTGCATCTTCTCCGTGTAAGTTCAGACTTCGCAAGTTTGATCAAGGCTGCATCTCTTCTTCTCAGTTTGATATGGAAAACATACCGAGGACACGCGTCAATCTTCACAGGGAAAAGTGTACTTTATAACTTCATTCACATCACCTTGGCTACGTTGTTTCACTTTCTCAACAATAAAATGTAAACTTGATATAAGGAACTGCCTATTTTTATTTTAATATTAACAACTAAACAGACAGCAGAAATGTTGAGGCGTCGTGCTGCATGAGCGTCATCTTCACTGTGTGGATATTTATAACAAAACGGAGCCGATAACAACTGCCTCCTTTCAATTTCAGTGAAAATACGAAACACACCCTCTCTTTTGCTGAATATCAGTTTTAATAATCGATAATGGCCATTATAAAAGTATAACATACAATAAGTTTATACATTATAGGAAATAAAGGCAAGCGATCAGTCAATATACAGAATGTAGGCTACGTGCTTACATTAATCATTAACTTATCTTTGCGCTCAGCCAAAACACGTTACCTGAGAACAAGTAATAGATTCCAATGACCAAAGTCAGGGAATATGTCGTTAGATAAAGACAACAAGATGAATGAAATATCCCGTTTAATAAATATAGTGAGATTAGATCCAGCGGGAGATGCTTGATGAGAAGTCCGACTAGCAGAGCTCTCATCTGGGTAGATGGGCTCCAGCGATTGCCAAAGTGTGTGTGTGTGTGGTCACGTGATGTGCGTTTTCAGCGTTTTGGTGTGGACGGAGAGCTGTTCAGAAACGCTGGGTAAAACGCGAGTGTGGACGCGGATCGTTTTCATTCTAAAACGCCGTTTTAAAACTAATACGCACTAGTGTAAACGGGGCCACAGTCTGACATCAGTCTTCTTTAAAATGAAACCGAGCTAAATTCTATGCACCAAAGTTTGGAAGATTGCCAATCATTTAAGTTGAACATCATTTTCATGTACGTGTTCAACAATTAAGAGGTTAAACTCTCGTTTAAAGTCACAGGTTCTAAAAACACATGCAAATTATATACTTTGACATTATTATTGTTCAGTTTTGCAGTGACTCTGGTCAACTATAATACTAATTCAACATTGCATATCCTGCGATGTGACTATTGCGGATGTGCACATTGTGATATTGATGCTGAAACACTATATTGTGCAATCCTAATTAAGACATATCTGCTATTGAAAGGAAATCTCTTACATCAGTGGAGCCGGTGAAAGCTACTTTGTCCACATCCATGTGAGAAGCAATGGCTGCTCCTGCTGTGGGACCAAACCCTGGGACAATGTTGACAACGCCAGCAGGAAAACCAACCTACAGCACAACACATGGAAAACGTCAACATGGTTTTCAACACAACATTGTTGGTATCCCTCCATTGGAGAAAAAACAAAACTACTGAAATGGTCACTGAAATCAAAACTAATGAAATTAGATATTGCTTTCAAATTTTTCAAATATTAAGGAGGCAAACTAATTAAACTGGCTTGAACAAACATGAAGGGTGCCAACAATCCATCTGTATCGACACCTATGACTGGTTTTGTGCTCCTGGGTCACATATTATGTGAAGTGACGATATCCGTATGATATCCATCTGTATACCATCGTACACATTTGTATGACTTGTTGAATACTGCCTTGTCCTAAAACATACATACATGCGTGTATATATGTGTATGTATATATATATATATATATATATATATATATATATATATATATATATATATATATATATATATATATATATATATATATATATATATATATATATATATATATATATATATATATATATATATATATATATATATATATATATATATATATATATATAAAAAAACACAAACACACACACACACACACACACACACACACACACAGAGACAGAGATATATATATACATATATATATATATGT